GCCGCTGCTGCCGCTCCCGCGCCCGCTCGGCGGCGCCGAAGCCCGGGGCGGCGCCGTTGCCGCCGCCGCCGCCGGCCGAGGCGTCCAAGAAGGTGCGGACTGCACACTGCTCGCCCCGCAGGCGCCATATGAGGCTGTACAGTCCAAGCGGCCCGCCGTGGCCGGGGGCCCAGCCCTGGGGGTCTGACTCATTCAATGCCATCAGCTGGGCCGACGAGCGCTCCCCGCGCAGCATCTGCGAAGCGAGAGCGCCGCCGCGCGGCGCGGTGCGGTGCGTTGCGGCGTGGTGCTTTGCCCCTCAGAACCGGGATTGCCGAGGCGCGCCGCTGTGGTGGCGGCCAGGTCCAAGTGTCTCGCCGTTGGAAACTCTCTACCTCGAATCTAGACACGTATGTAAAATCCTCCCAACACACACACTCTCTCACACACACACACACACACACACACTCTCACACGGACACAATCTTGTTGGCTTGTAAGTTGCCAGTCCCGGCTCCCTGCCCCCTCTGCTCAACAGCTTCCCGATTTTGAACCCCCGCTGGCCAGCCGCTCCCCCCCCTGCCGCGTCCAAACCCGCAACCCTCTCTTCCCATCCAGCCTCCCAATCACAGGCCCCTGACCCTCCGCAGCCGCGGCCCGCCATGGGCTCGGACCGACAAACTAAGGGCCCTCCACCCGAAGGCCACACCCTCATCCCCTGAGCCCCCCTCCTCAGCATCCACCCACCTGGGCCAGCTGTTCCCTTGACTCCCCGGCCAGGATGATCCTCTCCTCCCCCTCACACACGGGCCCGCCCTGCCGTCCCTGCGGAGCCGATCACAGGCGTGGCGGTTGACAGGCGGTTGAAAGGCGGTTGACAGGCGGTTAGAGCGCGACTGCATTGCGGTCCATGGCAAGAAATCGAGGCGCCCGTTGCTGGGGCGCAGGGGGCGTTGCTTGCAAGATGAAACGACGTGCAGCGAGGAGGTGCAGCGAGGAGGGATAGAACCCGCGTCTGCTGACACCGCAGCGATCCGCCCAACCTGCCTGTCTCAAGCGAAAATCTGCGCGTGTTGCAGCGGCGACGTCTTTGCGCAAACGAGGGTCATGAAATTGTCATAATCCGACAAGAATCCTACCTGCAGCGGCGCCGTGCGCGTAATCGACCATCCAAGGTTGACGGCTGCGGAGGGCTCGACCAGGACGGCCTCCAGGGCGCGCCGCGCGGGCGGGCTGATGCGCCACAGCGCGTCAGAGTCCTGGGGTTTAGGGTTTGGGAGACATTGTGATCGAGGGTGGGAGGTTAAGCGCGATGGGGTGGGAGGTTAGGGGAGGGGGGGATGGAGGCAAGGGCGAGCGGGGCCAGGTATGACTTGGTAAGGAGTAAAGTGACCCAGGGTGTCGACTCAGCTGAATGCACGCGCAACGGGGGGCAACAAACAAGCCCGTTGCACCAAATCAGCCCGGCCGCAGGCGGAGTGTGCAGGTGCAGTAGGCGCCTCCAGGGGACGACGAAGACAGCAAAGCGGGCCGAGGGACGTTGAAACCATGTATACAGCCCCAATGGGCCGCCCAGCAGCATCATCCGCTAACGCTAGCCTGCCCTCAAGCCTGTGCCTGCTGCAAAAGAAGGCCTGCCAAAACGAAAGGGCCCACAGATTGGGTTGAGCACCCTTCCCACCAGCGCAGATCGAGTCTGAAACGTATTTCAGCAAAACCCTACCTGCGACGTGCAGATCAGTTTGACCTGATCTGGGGCATAGGCTGCCAGCGCTTTGGGCATGATCACGCCGCCGCCGCCAGCCGCGCCGACCCAGTTCTCGGCCGTCCGCCGTTGCCCGCCTTGGAAGACCGGGAACTCCATCACCCCCGCATAATCCCCGCGCGCGTTCGAAACGCCTATCGACGCATTGACCGCCGCGGCGGCGACGGCGGGGGTCTGGTAGGTCGGGGCGCTGGAGGAAAAGAGCAGGAGGGGCAGCCAGATGCACAGGAGGAGGGCGGAAAACAGGAGCGCCCCCTGGAGGAGCTTCACGTATCGCGGCACCCTGTCGCCGATCTGGGGAGGGGGCGAGTAATGTGAGGAAGGATGGGGTGCGGCTTTGAGAGTTTGGGCATCGGCGTTCGATAGGTGAAGCATCACAGCCGTGGTGGAGGCCCGCCGACCAAGTGAGGGTGGTCTAGTAACAGCGTGAACACGCCTGTGTGAAGCGCACGCAGGCGTTTGGGGGTGCTGCAGGTGCTGGACGCGCCCAGCGGCCTCGTGGCCGCATAGATCCGAGCCATGTTCGTGGAGTGCTGCTGAATGCATGCCTCATCAAGCTGGCTCAGGTGCTTTTCTGCATCAACGGCTGGGGGTTTCAACCACAATTGTATTTGTGCTTTGACAAGCTGAGCCCCCAAAAAAATGCTGCACGCACACAAACCCACAGTACAGGTCTCCTCAAGCCTTGTATTAGAGCCAACCATCACAGGAGGACCCAGACCCTTGTACCCTGCCCCCTGAACCCCTGAGATCTGCCACTGTCCGCCCACCTGCCGCCCCAATTGGTAGTAGAGGCGGCACTGCTCCACAAAGATCCCCGCCCGCACGTCTTCCAGCTTGAGCCACTGGTACCTGCATGGGGGATTAATTATATAAGTATGAAATTACCAGGGAGATCAGAGGAACGAGATCCAAAAATCAACAAGCCCGACAGCCGCAGGCATGCGTGGGAGGTTTTCAAACCCGGCAGCTTGGCTTGAGGTTGGCCCTGGCCGTCCCTTTGATAACCCATTCGAGGGCCGCTGCCGATGCATGTACGAAGCGGGGTCCCTCAAGGCAGAGGCTGAGCTCCGCTCATACAAGGCATGAGTCAGGGCGGGGGACGCATGCAGCCACAAAACTGCTGCAATGCTCACATACGGCATTTGCTGAGAACCAAGGAGCAAGTTGGGCAGTGAGGTTTCGCGACCAGCCGGCTGGCGGTGCCCAGCCCGGCGGGGCTTCCCCCAAGCACCGAACCTCAAACCCTACGTTTTGAACTCTAAGCCCTGGGATTTGAACCCTGGACCCACCATGTGAGGGTGGTGATCGTGCAGGTCCAGTCCAGCAGAGTGCGCAGCTCATAGGCAAAAGGGATTGCCTGCATTTCAACGCAGTTTGCAGGGCGGACATGGCAGAAAAGGGACCTGAGCGCGGCGTACGAGTCATTTGCGCAGCACGTCGCTGCCTTGTTTCACGGCATGTGTGTGGCAACCAGCCCCACTCGCATGCGCCTGACGCCGGCGTGAGCGTCGCACCAGCCCCAGCGCAACGCGGTTCCAAGAAATCACCCGGCTGTGATGAGGGTCATGCTCCTTAGACCAAGCTTCACGACAAAGTTCACACCCAAGTTCTCACCTGGAACACATAGAACCCGATCATGTGGGCCGTGTCAGCCTTTGCGAAGAACAGGAACCGCTGACGGCCGCCGCCCTCAAAGTCGGCGCGGGGCGGGAAGCCGCTGCGAAGCTGCCTGGCGCCGAGCGCCCAGCTGGTGACCTGCAGAGGTGGCGGCAAGGAGGCGACAATTGTGAGGCAAATATGCGGCATGGAGGCAGAGCAAGTCACCAGCGCTGTGAGGAAGATGCGACAATGGGGCGTCCCAATGAGTGTGTAGGCTAATCATCTGCCATTGACGCGATTTCTTGTTTGCACGACGACGACATGACAAAGACGAAGCGGCCTCGGTGCGCGCAGGTCCGGCAACAACAAGCGTTTGCAATAACGGCAATAAACTCGGGCGCTGGAGCGGGCGTGGGGTGGTCGACGCCTGCAGCATATCAAGCAGTACTGCCACGCTGACTAGGCCCGGTCCGCCTCAGCTTGAAGAGGTTGGGAATTGTTATGCTGAAAGATTAAGGAGGAGGCCGCGTTTTGCAAGCCGCACCTTGAGCAGCAGGAAGATGCGGAGGTGCCACTGCGCGCGCCGCGAGTCGCCGGACCAAGCGGGCTCCAGGCAGGCGGGGAGGAGCACGAGCTGCTGAGTCAGCAGCAGCAGGGACTTGCCCAGGTGGGAGCCCTGCAGGGTTGGGATGGTGGGGGTTCGGGCCTTTCGTACAGAGCAAGTTCAACGTAGCCTGAAATAGGGAAGAGGGCGGCAACAGCCGTCAACAGCTAGGGCACCAAGCTACTAATCCAGATAGTCCATATTGAACAACCATTGCAAACTCTCAGTCCAGATATCCACTCTTGGCCTAATAAAGCTCTGGAGCCAGCGCAACCTGCAGCTGCCGCACCCACGCTGATAACGATGATCAGAGCAGATTCCTGCCCCCTTGCAAACCTGTGAGTAGAAGACCCTCTCCCCGACCATGAAGAGGAAGAGGGTGATGAGCGCAGCCAGGTAGCTGATGGGCAGCTGCCGCTCGTCCGTGATGTCAGCGAGCGTCTTGGAGGTCGATGACATCACCGCCTGGGGGTTTTGTCGAGGATGGAAGGTTATTGTGTGCGTGACGCGTCAGCAACCAAACGCTGCCAAGCCGATCAAGCCAAGCATTTGAATACTCAATTCCGCACCCAGTAGAATGGTATGCACTAGATGGATGCCGCAAAACAACAAAGTCAATCCCTCAAAATTTGAAGAACAAAAAGGATCCCTCCACAAAAATCACGATAGGAGAGGGGGCAGCGACCCAGCATTTCAGAGTGACCAAAGTCAAACCTGGTAGAAGAGGGTGCAGTAGATGAACGCCGCAAAGTCGACAAACGCCGTCGGCGCATACAGATCCAGCGGAGCCCTCGAGTGGAACTCCACGCCTCGGACGTCCAGATCGTGACCCGCAACCTCGGACGCCGCTGGGCCAGTCGGCGGCGCCGCCGGCAGCGGCGCGGCCCCCGCAGCAGCGGCAGAGGTTGCGTCAGGGGCTGGCGCCGCGTCGGAGGCGGGTCCCAGGCCTAGGCCAAGCGGCGCGGGCGGCGTGGGCGGCGAGGGAGGGGCTTCCGTCCCCGGCGCGGCCGCGTCGTCCGGCGTCGCGCCGTCGGAGGGGAGGGCCTCGTCGAGCCGCTGGCGGCGGCGGCGCTCCGCGGCCGCCTCAAAGTGGGACGCGGCGCGGCGGCGCTGCATCAGGCGGTCGACTGCGACGGCCGCGTCGCGGGCGGGCCGGGTGCTGCGCAGCGGCGCGGGGCGCGAGGCGGCGGCGGCGGCGGCCTGGCGGCGAGGCGGGGACGAGGGCGGGGGCGCGCGTCGACCGTCGAGACGCGGGGCCGCAGGGAGTAAGGGAGGGAGCAAGGGGCGCTTCATCCAAAGATACGCCCACCTCAGTTGTGCCCTTCCATCTCCAGCCATACTTCACCCACATCTCAGTTCAGTCCCCTACCATCCTGGGTCCTGCGACTGAACCTGCTACTCCCAACCGCCACAGCCGCCAACACGCACGCAGCAGCCCAGATCACAACACCTCAGATCACGACACCCCAGATCACAGCCGCACCTGCTCATCCTCGTCAGGCTCCTCCGCGAGAACCTCGAACAGCGCCGCCGCACGGCCTGCGCCCGATACCGCTTCGCCCTCCACCCCATACACGCCCGCCCCCACCCCCCTTCCTCCTCCAAACCCTCCTCCTCGTCCCCTGCC